ACACATCCTTACTTACTCACATAACAGGATAGTCTAAGCTCATTGTAGACTTTCCTGAGTCAGTCCTGGAGTAAGTCCTCCAGAGTCCAGTCTACTTTCAGTGAAGAATCTTTGCAGAAACAGAGATCTAAGCTGGGCAGAGAAGCAGACGTCTGTTATATAGTTATTTGAAAGATTGCCACCAGTTTGTACAGCAAACTGTGTGTTTCTTTTTTCTGTCTCAAAAAAGAAACCAAGACCTGAAATGAAGTACTTTTAGGAGTGTGTTCTACTCTGGAAGCATTGTTGTTCCTTACCTGGAGCTGAGGGTGTGTGTCCATATTACTTCCTGTTCCCATCATACGCTGTCTGTAGTTAATCTGCATCTCTTCCTGCCTCCTGCCTCCCCTCACTTCTCCTTGCCCCGTTTGAGCTCCACTGCCTTATGCCAAGCCCCTGTCCTTAGCAGGTACCTTGCTTGCCTTGTTAGGACTCTGCCCCCTGAGCCAGACTACCCTCCCTGTTGCAGCTGGCTGACCCCTGGTTGGAGTAAAAGAGATAGGTAGTTTGCACTTGCCCTCAGGCAACTCTAAATGCCTTTTATTTGGGGGTTTGTGGAGCATGCCAAGGGCAGGCAAAAAGGACTGTCTGTGGGTCCTTTAGCACCTATACCTAGTGAGAAATCTTCATAACATCTAGATTGTCCTTGGGAGTCAGGAAGTGGTCAGCTCTAGGAAATTGCTTTCTTATTGCTGTGCACCTACCTTCTGGGCAGGGCTGCATGATGCTACCCTGCTGGGAAGCTATGCTTCCTGTGTAGGTCCTCAGGTCCTTGCAATTGAATCTGATGCTGGGATTATCTCCGCTAATCCTGTCTAGACTGTCTGAAAAGAAGACTCATCATATTGGGGAGCATAACGTGGTTGACCAGTTATGGATGTATTTGGGTTTGTTGGTTCCTTTTTGTTCTCACATTTTAGTGGTTGCTTCACCATGTAAAGTGTTTGCATGGTTCCAACTGTAATCTACACAACAAGGTATATTGGAAAAGGTCTAACTTCTAACCTTGTCTCATTGTCCTGATCTCTCCTTTCCCTCTAGGTAAACATTTACAAAGGTCTATGATTTGTCCTTCACTTTTACAAATGAGTAAATGTATGTGTGTGGCTGAGTATTCTATATTTGCACCTGAAAACCTGTAAGATTGGGGCTGGAGAGATGGCTCAGTGGTTAAGAGCATTGCCTGCTCTTCCAAAGGTCCTGAGTTCAATTCCCGGCAACCACATGGTGGCTCACAACCATCTGTAAAGAGGACTGGTGCCCTCTTCTGGCCT